GATATTTCCGGGGGAGAGTCCCCCCTCCCCCCTCGCTTTAGTAAATGGGGACTCGCTCGTTTTCTGGTGTTCTTGCTTTCACAGACTCACTCTTCGACGTTGGATCACTCAGACCTCGCCAGGTAAGAATTTTCCCACTAAGCCTCCAAGCGCTTGTTTCCCAGTGTGCGTGGCTTAGTCCCATTCGGGAACGCAGCACAGAGACCTTCGGGGCAAAGGGAAGCCTTGCTCTGCCAGCAGTGTGCCAGCAGGGAGGTGACCCTCAGCGCCCCATGGCAAGGGACTCATTGCATGAGTCCCAGGGGGGTGCGTACTTTCGCTCCCCCTCTCAGTGCGCTGGTCCACGGATCGTCCCCCAGGAGAGCCCTGGGGAGACAGCTGCCATCAGCTCGCCAAAACCGAAAGCTCCTAGCATGGTCTTAATCACCCCTTGTGAATAGCCTATGCCTGTCAGCTGTTCTCGCTCAACCTCCAGGTTGTGAGTTTTAATGACCATGGCTGAGGATGAACCATCTCCCCCTGTGTCAGGGGATCTGACATTAAGGGTAGATGCCAGGGGTCCCTCAACGACAGCCTCATGCGATCTTGGAACCAGGCCTGATGAGGCCAGAATGGGGTCACTAGGATGATTTCTGCTTTTTAGTCTATCACTCTTTGAACCACCCTTTGAATGACTTGTAATGGTGGGAAGGCATATAGCAGTGTCCTTGGCCACTCGAGATGTAGTGCATCTGTTCCAATTGCCATTGGATTCTTTAATCTTGATATGAAGTGTTTTGTTTGTTGATTTTGGTCTGTGGCAAATAGGTCCACTTCCGGTGTCCTGAATTTGAGAAAGAGCTGAGCAAACACTGCCCTGTTTAGCATCTATTCCGATTGGTTGACCCATTGTCGGCTCAGCCAGTCTGCCACAGTGTTCTCCTGACCTGCCACATGAATTTCCTTTATGGATAATATGTGTGTCTCTGCCCAAGTCACCAGTTGGCTTGCTTCCTTGTGTACACGTTTGAAGCGAGATCCCCCTTGTCTGTTGACAAAGGCCTTCGCTGTTACATTATCCATTTGGATCAATATGTGACTGCCTGCTATCTCTTTTTGGAATGTCTCTAGGGCCAGCCTGATTGCCCTTAATTCCAGTAAATTCATGCTGTTGGATTTCTCTAACAGCTTCCAAAAGCCTTGTGCCAGTCTCCCCTGCATATGTGCTCCCCAGCCAAACAAGCTTCCATCTGTAGTGATAACCACTCAAACCGGACCCCTGAGTGGCATGCCCTCTGAGACGTGGTACGGTTCCAGCCACTACGCTAACTGTTGTTTCACTACTTGTGGTAGGTCCACCTTTTTGACCTTCTTCTGCGCTATCAGATCTTGAAAAGGGAGAAGAAAACGTTGCAGAGGACGTGCATGGAACCTGGCCCATGGCAGTATGTCCTGGCACGATACCTGCATCCCAAACAGTTATGCTAGAGTCATAATCTCTACTTTCTGTTGGAGGACGACCTCCTGTGTCAGCTGTATCAGTTTCTGTTGTCTCTCTTGAGATAAGAACACTTTGTCTCTCACTGTGTCAATGCGTACCCCCAGATGAGGTAAGGATTGTGTTGGTGTCAAGGAAATCTTTTCCATGTTGATCATGAACCCGTGGTCCCTGAGTACCTTCATCATGATCTCCAGTGACTGTACCGTCAGGTCGTATGAGTTGGCTTTGGCTAGGATGTCGTCTAAAGAAGGGTACAGAGATACCCCCTTAGTTCTCAGGAAGGCAATCAGGGCTACTAGTACCTTGGTAAAGACCCTTGGTGAGGACTTCAGGCCAAAGTGAAGTGTCCAGTACTGAAAATGGTTGCCGTGGTAGACGAATCGAAGAAAGCTGCAGTGGGCTTCCCGAATAGATATGTGTAGGTACGCCTCCGACAGGTCTATGGAAGCCATAAAGTCCCCCTTTTTTGATGGACGTTAAGATGGATTTCACCGTTTCCATCTTGAACTTTCATGTAACTACTCGTTTGTTGAGCCACTTGAGGTCCAAAATCACTCTTACATCCCCATTCTCCTTTGGAATGGTGAAGAAGACTGAGTAGACCCCTTGTGATCTCTCTAGGGATGGGACTGGTTCTATTGCCCCTATCTCGATCAGGTGTGTAATGGCTCCTTCCAGTTGCCTGTGTTTCACTCTGGATCTGTTCTTTGGGAAGTTCCAGAAAACATGTTGCAGTTAGAGACAAAAATTCTAGAGAATATCCTCTTCTGACCGTATCCATAACCCATCTGTCCGTGACCGTCTTCTGCCAAACATGTGCAAACTTCTGAAGGCAGCCACCAACTCCTGTCTGTGTCTCCTTCCCAGCATAGTCATGCCTGGGCTCCTTTCTCTGTGTTCTTGCCATTGAGGAACTGCTTTGTGGAAAAGGTGGAAGATCTGCCATCTTTGTACTTGGGTTGCCATTTACCTTTGTACAATCTACCATTGCCAGCTTTGGACTCTCTCTTAGTGTCTCAAAAGGACTGATGATACCTTCTCATTTTGCCTTCCCTCTTTTATAATGGGAGTACCTTTTTCTTGTCCTTATCTTTGATAAGGTACCTTTCCAAGTCTTCTCCAAACAGCTTGGTACCTTTGAAGGGAACCGCTGCCACTTTAGCACATGCTGAAGGGTCCATATCCCAGCTTCTGAGCCAGGTGTTGCATCTTGCTGTGACGCTGCACACCATGCTCCTGGCTGATTGTTGCGCTGCATCTAGTGTAGCATCTGCAGCGAAGGCTGTAGCAAGAGCAATCTTCTTTAGTTTGTCCTTTAGCTCCTTAGGTATGCCACTGTCTGCCTTTGTTAGATCAGAGGACCCTGCATATGCTGCCCTGGCAAATAGAGACCCTGTAACAGAAGCTCTTAGTGTGTTACTTAACACTTCAAAATCTCTCCTTAGCATTTGTTCTATGCACTTATCACTGCTTTCCTTTGGGAGCCACCATAGGGAGGACTGAAGTGGATGCCAAGCTATTAATCGGGTCATCTACTATAGGCAGTTTCAGCTTTTTTGAAGCTTCATGGATCAGGGAATATAATTTTCCAAAAGCCGGGTTGGTGGCTTTTGGTTTAGCTGGATGTTCCCACTCTGCCTTCATGACCTTATAGAAAGCTGCTGGTAGTGGAACCTCCACTGACTTAGCAGTAGGTTTGGGCATGGTCCTGTCTGATCCTTCAGGGAAAACAGAGTCATCTTCCTCTTTTTCTTTAGGAATATAAGCTAGCTTCAGTGTCCTGATGACTTTTGGAAGTAGACTATTATATAGTTCCTGAGGGACGAGCCTAGACTGAGCTGCAGGAACCACCTCTTCCTCCTCCTCTGATAATTCACCCTCCTCCTTGGGTGAATCAGAGGTTGCAGGTGTCGAATCAAACTCTTGTCCATCTAATAGAGGGCTATACTCTCTTTGAAATTCTGAGGCCGTTCTCCTCTTCTTCTCAGGAATTTCAGTTTCCCTTTCACTAGGACTGTGTCTTTTGCAATGTTGGTGCATGTGGGAACGTCCTTGAGACTCCTGGTACACGGCCTTAAACTCCTTTCTCATTTCTAGCTTCAACCAATAAAGGATATTAGACTGGCTCTCTTCCCTAGAACTGCGGTCTTATGCTTGGGTGAGAGGGGATCTGGGAGACTCAGCCAGGTCAAAGGTGCATGTCTCAGTGTCCATCTCCTGAGAAGTAGATGGTCCTGATATCGCAGCCATTCTGCATTCTACCTGAAAGTGAAAGTAACAGTATTGTACCTAGGCTGCTTGTCCTACCAGGGCATTGAAAAGGGGGTTGAACTTGTCTCCAGCTTAGGAAGATGTTTAGTTCCTCACTGCCTGCCTAAGTCAAAAGTTCCAGCCATGGCCAATTCCTCCCCACTCCACACATTAGCCTGGGAGGGGGAAAAGAGGAGGGGGGAAAACTGAAACTTTCCTTCCCAGCCCCTTAAAGCTTGCAGAATGAATCCCAGCCACCCTTTTTCCTTCCCTCTCTCCCCTGCAAAGCCGGGGGTAAAGGTAAAGGTTCCCTTGCTCGAAAGCCAGTCGAGTCCGACTCTAGGGTTGCGGCGCTCATCTCCATTTCAAAGCCGAAGAGCCAGCGCTGTCCAAAGACGTTCCCGTGGTCGTGTGGCTGGCATGACTAAACACCAAGGCGCATGGAACGCTGTTACCTTCCCACCGAAGTGGTACCTATTTGTCTACTTGCAATTTCTTGCTTTCGAACTGCTAGGTTGGCAGGAGCTGGAACTAGAGACGGGAGCTCACTCCGTCATGCGACAACTCGGGTCTCGAACTACCGACCTTGGGGTTCAAATCAGCATCAGTAAGGAGCCTCCCGGGCACTTTCCCTGCTTACCACACCGTGGTCTGGAGCTCAAGTTCAGCCTCCCACGTCGTCCTGAAAGACGGGGAGCCACAACTGCAAATGACCGCTGATGGGCTCCTGCACATCTGCGATAGCCCGGCCAATGTTGGAGACTCCACTGCTTGCCTCCAATGCTCCCTAAGGACAGAGAGCAGAGGTACGCCGTGCCAGTCCTCCCCTCCCAGGCCTGGCAGCATAGCGGGGATCTCAATGGAGCCGCGGTTCCCCAGGGATCACCCGGGTCCACCAGTGCCTTCCAGTAAAGCCGCACTTCTCCTGCGGCTCGGGATGACTAGGAGGGGGGGGGGGAAGAAACAGGAAAGGTATCAAGCTATCTGTTCCTGCCCTTCTCCTCTCGAAATCTTCTATTTTCTTTCTTCTTTTCTTCTGTACTCTTCTGACTGCTGTGCTCCCAAGGAGCATGGTCTCCATGTCCTGCTTGGAAGGCAGGGCTGGAGAGACTGGGTTCCAGGGGACAAGCCCCTCCCCTCCATGACTAAAGAGTCTACCGGCCCTGCCTTCGGAGAAGAGGAGCTATCCCAGGAGTAAGGAGTCTGAAGGACTGCCACTCCTGGACCACCGGAGAAGGAAGGCTGCAAGCTCCTAACATTAATCTCTTACCTGTCATAGTCCATGATGGTCTTAACACGGTGGGCTATGGTCAGGACAGTGCATTCCCTGAACTGAGTCTTTATGGTGGACTGAATCTGAAGATCTGTCATGGGATCCACCGCTGCAGTGGCTTCATCAAGTATCAGGATTTGCGCTTTTCGAAGCAACGCTCGTGCCAGGCAGATAAGCTGCCGCTGACCGACACTAAAGGGAGGACAGAGGGACAGTTCAAGGTTCTGGTGCTGCATGGGTTATCAGCCTCTTGCAAGAACTATTTTGATCAAACGCTCCCTTTCCCTTTAGAGAAGGGTTTCCTCTTTTAGAATAACTGTGTGTAATCTTAAACACATATGACGCTTCTTCAAATATATCAATTCATTGGTCCACCAAACCCCATGGAATCTACCCTGATCTCCAAGGTCACGGGTCTTTCCCAGCTGCCCATCATAGAGTCTTTGCCTGGAAATGATGAAGGCTGAACTGGGGACTTTCTGCATCCAAAAATCCCCTGCTTAACTGCTGAGCCAAGGCCATGAGGTGTGAGAAGGTGGTTTGGGAAAAGACACATGTGTTCAGAGTACTTTGGCTCAGCAGCTTTAGCAGCATTCAGAGGCAGGATGCCACTGCATATCAATTGCTGGGGGCAGCAACGAGTGGTGTTGGTTGGAGAACAGTGATATGACCAGGACTTTTTTTTGTAGAAAAAGCCCAGCAGGAACTCATTAGCATAATAGGCCACACCCAACAGCAGGAACTCATTAGCATATTAGGCCACACACTGACAGCACATCTCATTCGCATTTTAGGCCACACCCCCATGTTACCAGAAGTGTGGTCATCCAGCCACACCCACCTATTGCTTCTTATTCTCTTTACCTTGTTTGTTGTCAAAACCCAGGGCTTTTTGCATGTTAGGCCACACACCCCTAATTGTAGCCAATCCTAATGGGTTCCTGCTGTTGGGTGTGGCCTATTATGCTAATGAGTTCCTGCTGGGCGTGGCCAACTTGGGAGCCAGCCGGAACTCCGTTCCTGTGCGTTCCTGCCCGAAAATAGCCCTGGATATGACCACCCCTCTGGAATATTGATCAGCCCATAAAATGTAAAACCAGAGACCAATGAGGGTGTCTTTTCTTTCCACATTTTGGGTACCTCAGATTTCCACCACCTTCAGAGCACTCATAGGCCAAACAGCCAGGCAGATTCAAAACAAAACTCTTCAGCAGAACCCGTTCCAAAGCAATCCAAATGTCTTCATCAGAGTACTTATTCAGAGGATCAAGGTTGCTTCTGAGAGAATCTGGAAACAAGACCGGGTCCTGGGGGCAGGAATATAAAATAAGCTATCTAAAGTTGTAGGTTTTGTAAATATATTAAATGAAAGGTGCTTTCTGAAACTAATCACCTTTGGCCTGGGAGCCCCCTAATCTGCAAACAAATGTTAGGGGGAAGATCACAATTTCTTTAGGCAAGAAAGAAGCTTTGGTGTTACCGCTGACAGAAACCAACTCCCTACCTGCGGGATAATGCTTATCTTGCTTCTCAGGTCACGTAGACTTAATTGGGCAATGTTGATTCCATCAATAAAGATTTCTCCCTCTGCTGCTTCCACTAGTCGGAGGAGGCCCATTGCCAGAGAGGATTTCCCGGCCCCTGTTCGTCCAGCTATGCCAATCTAGGAATATAACGGAAGTTTGAGAAGATCTGAGTTGCTCTTGAGGCTTTTGCAGTGGAGGTGCCCATGTTATGGAATCGCCTTCTTGAGAGGGGATGAGAAAGACAGCTACTCATGGTTTTTCAGAAGCTGTTTAAAGGTGAATTTTTCAGGAATGCATATGTGACTGGATGATGTGATGCTTTTTGGCTAGTTAGCACTGCAGGAGAAGGGCTAATCAGGTTGTTAATATTGCCTTTAAAAAAACCTGTTTAAAACCTCACTAGATCTGTCTTTGAAAGAAATGTTTTTGCAACAGCATTTGCCTATTAAATTCCCTAAAGCATGGCACAAGCCTAGATGACTTACTTTTTCTTGTCCATTGATCTTTATGTTAATATTCTTCAGTGATAACTCCAAGTCTGGCCTGCAGCGTAAACCGTAATCTTTAAATTCAATCATTCCTTCAGCAGGCCAATTTTCACTTAGAAAGTTGCTACCCAAAGTCCAAGGAGCCTGGACAAAGTACAAAACCACATCTCATATTCAGGACACCAGAGACCCATGTTCCCACAACTACAAAGCAGACAAAGAAGGGCCACGAATGTAAATAAAAATGCAAATAAAAAAGAGATGTTTTATCTCTTTCAGCATGCTTGGTTTTCTTGCAGACCACAAACAGTCCTAAACGTAGAGTGAAATCCACTTGTCCACCTTAATTAGAATACACCAGTCAATTCAAGTATTATCAGGGCATTTTTTGTAGAAAAAGCCCAGCAGGAACTCATTAGCATAATAGGCCACACCCAACAGCAGAAACCCATTAGCATATTAGGCCAAACCCCTGATAGTACAGTGCATTAGAATATTAGGCCACACCCCCATGTTACCAGAAGTGTGGTCATCCAGCCACACCCACCTTTTGCTTCTTATTCTGTTTACCTTCTTTGTTGTCAAAACCCAGGGCTTTTTTTGTAGCAGGAACTCCTTTGCATGTTAGGCCACACACCCCTAATGTAGCCAATCCTAATGAGTTTCTGCTGTTGGGTGTGGCCTGTTATGCTAATGAGCTCCTGATGGGCGTGGCCAACTCGGGAGCCAGCCGGAACTCCATTCCTGTGCGTTCCTGCCCAGAAATAGCCCTGAGTATTATTCGAGAATTCTTAGCAAAAGCTCTGACTTTTCCCTTGTCAGGCTCCCTGTCCATTTTACAACTCGCCTGCCATTGAGAGAGGAGGTTCCTCTCTCTCTGATGTGCCAGAGGCTTGTCACCTCAGTGGGGCCAAATGCCCTGACTTCTCAAACGTCTGTTATTCTGTTTTTCTTGCTATGTAGAGGCTACGTGTTGTGGGTCGTGTGTGGCTGTGGGGGGGGGGGGGGTAGGCAACTGTTAGTTTGGCAGGGAGGTACGTGCTTAGTGGGAGGGGGCAGCTGACTGTTAATTCTGGTGGGCAAATACCGTGGGGTGATTGGGTCCTGATCTTTAGTGCTTTTACTTGAACACACTATATCTGTAACCTTCGCGCGTTCAACTTCAGTCCTAACAATAGCTTGTGTTCAGTATGGTATCTGTCAAAGTCTCAATAAAGTTAGCTTTCTTCGAAGTGACTGGTGCTGAGAACTGATTTAACCAGGATCCTGACATCCCTCTGAAATATAAATGTTTGGGGGGGAAGGGATAAGCAAGCCTCTCCACGGCTCTCTCTCCAGTTCCTCCCCAAAGTCACTTTTTATGTGCTCATTTATTATATACAAGCATGTGTACTTTATAGTTTGGCCCTAACAAAAGCAATTTAATTAAGCTTTTGACAGGGTAGGAGGAGGTTGCTGAAAGCTTTGATTGCAAAAGGAACTTCAATAATATGTTTTGTAGAATAACGGAAAATTAACAGCAACTGACTTCTTTGAGTGTCTCTGAGTAATCTCTCACTCTCTCCACTGACACAATGTTGTTCTCCATTTCTGCCAACGAACGCACCATCCAGTTCAAAATGCCTGTAACCTGGTAAAAGGAAAGAGAAACCTAACATATGGCTCCAAATCCAGAAGCTACAGTAAGGTATTTTCTTAACAGCACCCTCCAATACAAACACAGACCAGTTACTCACATATCACCATGCCTTACCTATACACCTAAGGATGCCAGTGTTAAAAGTCAATGGTAGTTTAATAAAAACAGGTTGCTTACCTGTAACTGATGATCTTCGAGTGGTCATCTGTGCAGTCACACCCATGGGATTACGCGCCTGCGCTGATCCGAATCGGTGATATACAGAGCTCACAAAGGGATTTCCGTGCCCTTCCCCCAGGCATGCGCGGGAACCCCACTGCGCATGCCCAAGGGGCGGGGCACGGACATCCCGCCAGTTCCTTCTGACCGCTGTCATGTTAATAACCAGAGAAAAGTACTGAAGCGACAGCAGTGGGGAAGGACGGGCGGGTGGTGTGACCCAAGGTCACTACGGTGTTTCACCGCCTTATCTGAATGTGGTTTTAGGGTGGTACAACTGCTCCTCCCCACCGTCGAGCTGCTGTGAGCAAAAAGCAGACAACTGGAGCGGAATTCTCCCCCCTCCCCTTTTCTAAGGAGATACGCAAATTGTCACAAAGGAAACAAGTTAGCTGAAAATCCAGTCGTCTGCGTTTAAAAGCAGCCAGGGAACATTTTTCGGCAATCACATTTTGGGGGTGGGGTTGGAAGCACGCCCACCCGTGAACCATTTGTCATTTCCCGGGGCAGTCTCCAGAACGCCCTGCCTGGCAACTGCTGGGTGTTTTGTGTTTTTTACCCAGCTCGGTCCATCTTCCCTGCCCCCTTTCCACCTCCCCCTCTGCCCGGTCACCCCCTTTTACTTTCTCTGTGTGTGGGGGTCACAGGTGCCGTTTCCTCCCCACAGTGCAGTGCAGTGCTGGTGCCCCTAGGAGGCCGCTCCTCCCCCCTTTCTCACTTGCGCTTTCCCTAAACAACTTGTGTCCTGATGCAGACAGAGGAGAGCTTTATACTGAGCCAAATGGGAAGCTGGTGCCACAGCAGCACGGGACAGCTTTACATAGCAAATGCAGATTGGGCCTTAATCTTATCCCTGTGCATAGATTCTCTGCTCTAAATCACACCCTCCATGCTGTGGAAGGAGGGACAGTGGGATTACAGCAGGACACTGAGGAAGGGGTTCTTCCCATATACCCAACACCATTTATCTTACTGAAACTGGCTCACTGCCGCCATTGCCATTGCTTTTAGTGGCAGTGGGAGATAGTTATCCAGGGCTCTACTGGTAGCAGGAGCTCCTTTGCATATTAGGCCACACACCCCCTAGTGTAGCCAATCCTCCAAGAGCTTACAGTAGCCCCAGTAAGAAGAGCTCTGTAAGCTCTTGGAGGATTGGCTACACTAAGGGTGTTTGGCCTAATATGCAAAGGCGCTCCTGCTACCAGTAGAGCCCTATGTCTATTTTTCCCTAGCAGGGCTAAAAGCAGTCATGGGGGGATTTTGATGGGAAGAAAAGCATGGGGGTATGAGCTAACCCTTACTTCCCCCCCAGTTATTTATTTATTTATTTATTAGTTCAATTTATACCACGCCCTCCCCGCTATGCGAGCTCAGGGCGGCTTACAAGGAGGCATAAGCCAATACAAAACATATTTAAAACCATTTAAAACCATTTAAAATCACTACAGTACAGTAACATTATTATTAACAAAAGTGCTCTAGATGTTCTAACATGATATTCCACAAGATGGCGTATTTCAACTGCTCTATTACAGCTGCTCTACCCACTCAGCGTCATCTGTTCCGGAAAACGCTGATGTTTCTTCTTCCAGGGCCGGGTATGATGGAACAGTAATGATGGTAGTGATGGCTCCTACTCATACATCTGGCGGAAGAGCTCCGTCTTACAGGCCCTGCGGAACTGTGCAAGGTCCCGCAGGGCCCGGATCTCCTCGTTCCACCAGCTCGTTCCACCAGGTAGGAGTTCTACTCCTAATCCCTATTGAATTGTCATAGGACTGCTTTTTGAGGTTAATTTATATATGGAAGAGATTTCTTTTGTTTTGGTTGAATATTTTGTTTTGTTTACCGATTAAGGATGGCAGACTACGACAGAGAGGCCCTTGTTAGAGGTCAGGTCAGTACCCTAGGTACATGAAGACCTCCTGGGAAGCCCCACCCCCATCCTATGTACACCACTTTTTTTTAGATTCTATGAAGAATTAAAGGCAGGCTAGAAATGCAATATATAATAAATGTAGTTTTTAAAAATAAAGGTTACCTGAAGAGCACAAGAAACAGAAAAGCCAACCATTCCTGGGCTGAGGTGTGGCATGCTAATCACGGCAAGTAAAGATGCGAAAAGGACAACACTATTCCCTAGGAGCTCCATGTTTGTGGCGAGCCACCTGGAACATAAAGACCATGGTGATGACACTTTACCATCTTCACAGTTATTGAGACTGGATTCCTTCTTCTTCTTTTTTAGCCCGCCGGAGGGGATTTTTTATTGCATTTTTTAATAGACTACAAACTACAACGAAAAATTGGGAAGGGGTAACTACATCTAGGGAGAAAGGAAAGAAAACCACAACTAACTAAAACCCCAAGTATAGGAGATCATAACAACAGTTTATATAAATGTTAATCTTAAATTGCTAGTATTACTTTGAACATAGTCGGCTATGCTA